AGAAATAAATACATTTATCACATATTATATATTTGTATTTGAATCATTTTCAGGGGCTTTTTGAGCTTCTTGAAGAAATTGTTTCTACACATGAAAAGTGTCCTTTTTTGCTTATTTGTTTTCTGAAGTCTGGTCTGAAGACACTGCCTCTTACATTGTGTGAACATTTCATGATGAATGGACCAACAGAAAAGGTCTAAAATTACCTAAAGGGAAACTCCACCGATTTTTCACATTTTCTGCATAATTCCTTAGTTGAGATGTAAACAAAGTCATTCAGAGTGGTTTGAGCTGAAATGGCTGGCTGTAGAGAAACTTATAGACTCAGATTTCTTTACAGTGGTGGTGATGAGAACCAGGGTTCACAATGTTTACAACACAAATATAGTTATTTTATTTACTATCCAAAACCACCAATCCACCTACACAGGTCTTCTGACTTTTTATATGTTCAGGATGGTAAAATACTGTAAAATTTGAAAAAAAAAGTTTTCTTTGGGGACTATTTTGCCTCACAACACCCTGCATGTATCCCCTCCACCATAAACAGATTCAAATAAATGGATTAGTAAGACGTTTTAGGCCAAAACTTTATCACAGAACTATTGTAAAACAATGTTTAGGCACCAGGCAGTGTATTTATAACCATTTTGCATAATAACTTTCTGTGAGGGATCTTTCAGAGGCATTAAACGCTTCAGACGTCTGGTTCCTATCAGCACCACTCGTTAAGTTTCTCTAACGGAGCATTTCACACCCAACCACTCTGAATGACTTTATTTACATTTTAACCATTATGTGGAACTTTTGAAAAGTTGTTTGAATTTTTTTTTGGAAGTAAATATCTTGCTATATTTTGGTCTCACAGCAACAATTTGGAATTCATTGTCGGCCCCACATTTTAAATTTCTGGAGCATTTTTGTAACTTTTAGGGGTTTTTGCCCAGAAATAAAGTTCCTAAATGGTTCTTTACTTGGATAAAATGGTCTAGAAATGAAAACTTTAATTACATAGAACCTTTACATTATGTGGTTCTTTAAAGGGCCCATATCCCACATTTTGTTGTACTTTTATTTATATTGTATTTTTTTCCACTTAAGGTCCACTTACGACGTGTGGTTTTATGTCCCAAAAACAATTTCAATTTTCCAACCTCTCTTTTCCCCTTAGAATTAAACAAACTGCTTTTATTACTGTGCCTTTAAGACTGATACATGTAAATGAGCTCTGTCCTGATTGGCTATCCTGTATTGTGCCTCGTTTAAAAAGCAGTACAAGCTGAAACCCTCCTTATAACATCAGTGTGAGTGGGTGGGGCTGTAAGTTAAATAAGCAGATACATGTAAATGTATCTGCTTACATTCTATCTATGGACTGAATGGATGGAAGCAGACGGTACGCTTTGAATCTTTTAACAATTTTAATGTACTACATCCATCATATATGCATGACATGCCCACTTCAAACTCGCACACCTATATTAAAATTGTGGTTCTTTGAAGAACCATTCATTAAAAGGTTCTCTAGGGAACCAAAGTGATTCTCCTATGGCATAGCTCTAAAAAGCAAGGGTGCATTATCAGTGTACAGCTTCGTAGATGTCAAGTAAGATCCAAACTTGTGAAATTAATGCCAGAATACAGTTCAAAGTGTATATAAATTTAGGGCTCTGTATTCTTAAGCTGCCTCCTTTTTCAAGGGAAGCTGTCAAACAAGTGAAACATCTGTTTCCGAATTGGTCCCGAGTCTCTGAGGGATGGCCCATCACAGTCTCACCCCAGTCTCCCCAAGCAGCGAGAGGAGAGCACAAAGCACAATAAAAAGGCAGAATAAAAACGGCTTTATCCTGTGCTCGGGCGCATGATCCTCACAGACGGCCTGTTCGCTCCACAGACCCCTCACCATGAGAAAGCTCCACACCAGCCTGCCGTTCTGCACTCACCAGCCGGTGAGGAGAGCTGGCAGGAGCATGTGAGGCTCTTTTAGCCATCAACACCAGCACACCATGTCCTACCTCACCACTCACTGCCACTTGCTTCTCTACATAACATTACAGGACTTACTGGGCTGGAGAAACTTCCATCCAACGACAAACTATGTCATTAATGACAGTAAAGGGGAACTTCACCGATTTTTCAAAATTTCTGCATATCTAAAAGGAGTCATTCAGAGTGGTTTGGTGAGCAATGCATTCTAGAGAAACTTACCATGCCAGAATAGTTCACAGTGGTGGCTACAGGAACCAGACGTCTGAAGAGTTTAATGTCTTAAAGCTCCCTCACACAAAGTTATGACATGAAATGGTTATGAAGCCTGATATCTGAGACGTTTTTATGGTAGTTCTGTGTTAAAATGATGGTCTAACACATAGTCTAATTGACTTATTTGAATCTACTCATGGTGGAGGGATACATAAACGGTGCTCTAAGGCAAAACGGTCCCCAAAGAAAACTTATTTTTTCAGATTTACCGCTATTTTACCATCATCAACATTACACAGAAAAACTCAGAAGACGCATGTAGGTTCTGGTGGTTTTGGATTGCAAATAAAACGGCTATATTTCATCAAGACCTCTGGTTCCTATCACCACCACTGTAAAGAAATCTGAGTGGGTAAGTTTCTCTACAAATGAACCATTTCACATCAAAGCACTCTGAACGACATTGTCACATCTCAGCCACTGAATTATGCAGAAATTTGGTGGAATTCCCCTTGGCTGTGAACGACTCTTCCAGCTCATCCTTCTGCAATCATAGTGCTAACAAAGAGCTTTTCCATCTCCTAAAAACGAGTTTAAAAGTAAGCAGGCTGAAGATTCCTATTGGCCAGCTTATTATTTGAACTGTCCGGTCGAAAGGCGGGTTCCAGTAAGAAGGTGGCGAATAAGAAGCAAACCAGGAGCAGGAAATGTAATGTGTAAATATAATGTGCACCACAGCGGACAAACTAAGACGAGCAACAGAAAGCAGCTGTGCACAACATGAGCATAAAACCCCATCAAACATTACAAAGCAAATCATAAGACTTTTAAGACTTTAAATACACTGTTTAGAGTGTAAATCAGCAGCAGGCAGCATAAAAAAGCATGCAAATAGCAAACAAATGCCTGCAAAATGACAAGGAAACATATGCATAAAGGATATGAATAGCAGCAGTTATCAGATCAATATCTATCTATCTATCTATCTATATGTTGTGTGTGTGTGTGTGTGTATATATATATATATATATGTATATATAAATATATATATATATATATATATATAAAGCTGAGCGATAAATCCATGCTGAAAGTGATGGACAGAGTTGTGTCCGAGTGAATGAAGCACTGACCTGCTCATCTCCGGCAGCTCCGCAGCTGTACACACAGCACGCGCTCTCGCTCTAGTGTTTTTGTGTCTCCTTTCCACGTGACAGTGAGTGGGCGTGTCGCTGATTGTTGAGGGGCGTGGCACAAAGGCATTATCTGTTATAATGGCTGAAAAGTGCCTTATTGTCCAAACTGCAGTTACTTAATGAAAAGAAACTGCGGTATTATTGTAAAGCTGTATAACACGTTCGCACTCATTAATTAACACTCTTAAAATAGATGGTCCTTCGATGGTTCTTTAGTCTATTTAGAAGATTTTGAGTTCTGTATAGACCCATTTCATGCTCAAATGGTTCCTTGCAACCTTTTCGAAAATGGTTCTACATCCTGATACTGTTACGATGTCAAGCTTGTAACAATAGAAGAACCCTTTTTGGTGCTCTAGAGAACCATTTTCAGGCAGGTTCTATACCCTATGCAACACACTCTCCATCAATCTGAAGAACTATTTCACCATGCAAAGAACCTTTTAGGCAGGAAATGGTACTATATGGAAGTTATGGTTCTAAATAGAGGAAGAACCCTTGAAGAAACATTTTTAAGAGCCTCAAATCTTTTATTTATCTCTATTATTGCAATAATTTGATCTTATAATTTAAAAATATGCTCACTGGCAGGTAAATTGGGCAGAGATGCTTTATAGTGATCATGTTTATCAATCTAACTCTAAGTTTGTATCAATAAATAAAGGCCAAGATATAAGATTAAAAATAAATGTCAGAAGAAAGAAATTCATGTTTTCTATACGAGTCTTTACAACACGTGGTTTTGCGTGTAAAAGAGCTGAACTCGCTCCTTTGTCTCAGAGTGAGGGGAGCAGTTTGAGTGAACAGTCTGAGCGCCATCTGGTGTTTCATTACAGAACAGCAGGCTGCTGAGGTCTTCGCGTCAACATTAAAGGGGAATTCCATTCACATTTCATAATAAAAGCCTAATTCGTTAATTCATTGTTGAGATGATGTAAATAATGTAATCCAGAGTGATTTGATGTGAAATGGTCAATTGTAGAGAAATTTACAGACTCAGATTTCTTTACAGAGGTGTTGATAGGAACCAGAGGTCACAATGTCTACAGCACAAATATAGCCATTTAGTTTACCAACCAACATCACCAGTGAACCTACACATGTCATCTGGATTTAAATATGTAATGCTGATAATAGTAAAGTAGTGATAAATCCAAAAAAGGGGACTATTGTTAGAGGAATTAAGCTCTTCAGACGTCTGGTTCCTATCACCACCACTGTGAACAATCCTGACTCTAAGATTCTCTAAAACAGAGCATTTCACACCAAACCGCTCTTAATGGCCATATCTTCCATCTAATTATGCAGAATCTTTATATTTATAAATAATAATAACAAACAAAGGTTACAAATAAGGTTACAAACAAATAACAAACTTAGGAACAAACAAACAAACAAACAAACAAACAAACAAAGAAAAGTATTTCCCTGGTTTTAATCCTAATGGTTTCCAATGGTCCTTTTTCAGCCGGATTGCAGCACCTAATAATAAAACATAGTTAATTAATGATCCAATAATCGGTAAGCAATCAGTAATATGAGAGAGAGAGAGAGAGAGAGAGAGAGAGAGAGAGAGCAATAACCACACTACACCACTTATAAGAATGCTTTTTATTTGTATGCTCTAGTGTCTCACTTATCACTCCATCAAAACACTTCCTACATATATCATTGATAAGGATAAACTTATTATAAACAGGGATTGAACTTCGATGACCTAGTGAGTGTCCCATTTCCAGCACCGACACTAACTAACCAGGAGAGGGCAGCAAAGGCAAAAGCAACAGATGGAGGACGAGTAAACTGTAGTCCTTCCTGTTTTTTGGTTAGTAGTGTTTAGAAGCAAAGTTGGCCCTACATCAGTGTTAAAGCACATCTTTCAACTAAGCCGTTGTTTAAAGTAAAAACAATGTCAGTTGGCTGCTCTGAATTTGCATAAAGCTATTCTAAAGTAATATCAGAATAATAATCACGAAAGATTAGTATGTATGAAGCAATAATATTTAAAAAATATTATGAAAAGTGTCTGTGTGCCATACTACACCTGGTAAAAACCATAAAGGGTGCAAACGCACTATTCAGTACCATAATTCCAGTGGTACATAGTGCCAAGGCTAATGAGGCTATTAATGTAGTCTAAACTGCAGAGCACACAGAATATTCCTACTAGAAAAACCAGCACAGACCAGCATGGCTGGTCACCAGCAAAACCAGGATATGCTGTGGATGCTGGGGTGCTGGTCAACCAGCATGACCAGGCTGGGTGAACAACTAAACCAGCACCAGGCTAGCACAGACCAGCTTAGACCAGCTTAGACTAGCCTAGACCAGCATGGAATTCATTGCTGTTTTAACAAACCTAATGCAACTCATCAAAACATTGGTCAGATATGTTGGAGAAGGCCTGGACTCTGAAACTTCTAGTGTAACGGCTACCTGTTCTAAAAATGAGTGTATCACTTAGCAAACTTGAGCAATGCAGGCAATAAAGCGAAAAGTCAGTAAAAAATCTAATTCAGATAGTTACCATGTAGTCGATCTGCCAAGACACTAAGTCTGCTTCTTTAGTTTTGCACTGAGCTATGAAGCTAGTGTAGCTAACAAGTAATCGAAGCTTCTAGCGTAATGCTAATCAATGGCTGCAAGCCTAAATCATCACACGCTTGCCTCAAACCAATGATGTAGGTATTCACTATGCACAGTGCTAATCAGTGGCCATTAGCTCCTGTTACTTCTTAGCTACATTAGCCTCGTAGCTCCAGCGCAGAACTAAAGAAGCAAACCTCAGACACCGAACATGCCTTGGCTGAAGGACCACAGTTGAAGTGAAGGGGAAATTTAGGTGACTTGTAATTTCCTCTTGGTGTCCAGTTTGTAGATGGTCTGGTATCCATCGTCCCAGGCGTAGACTTGCTTCTCTTTGGGGTGGTAGTGCATGCCTGTGTGACTGGTGTAGCGCTTCGGGAAGAAAATCACTGGCATCTCCTCCGTCTGTAGGGTATCATGGATGTCGAACAAGCATTTAACGCTGGAGCGCCCTCCAGAGTGCGAGTTGTAGACCACGTACATGGTTCCGCAGATTATGAAGGCCCCTTCAGCATTGTGACTTTTGCAATTTGTGTCCCAGGTGTGTTCCACAGCCAGGCTGTTGGAGTCCAGCTTGGTGACTACCAGGTTCCCCCCAAAGTCTGGGTCAGCATGGATGGCCCATAGACCCAGCTCGTCCACGGCCAGGTCCAGCAGAGTGTGAGGGGAGAGGCTGTAAGTGGGCATACGGCCAGCCCCGGGCAGCAGCATGCGGTCAGTCACAGTGCGGTTGAGGAGGTGCACCTTCAGCACTTCGTTTCGTGTGTTGGCGTGGTGGTAGTAGATGAAGCCGTTGTAGACCACTTGGCCCGTCCCCTGCCAGGGGAGAGGCAGTGAGATGATCTCGGCCTTCCTGGTCCAGTTGGTGTCAGTGAAGGCCTTCAGAGAGACAAACTCCAACAGCGTGCTGTTTCTGGAGCCGCTGAAGAAGTAGATCCTGGAGGAGCCTTTGGTGGAGTCTTTCATCCAGGAGCCGGTCAGATCGCCTGCTTTCTTGACGATTTTCTGGGACTTGATGCCAGAGAGATGAGTGTTGCAATCTGAGCAAAAGTGAAATTAAAATCAGAAGAAGCTCATTTAAATGACTGAGCAAAGATATCAGGATGTTGTTGTATAAACTCCCTTTATTGCATAAAAAGTGAAATGATGGTCACTTCAAATCGAGTCGAACAAATTTAATGGGTTGAACAAATAATAATTTGGTGAAAAATCAGTTTGGAAACACAATTTTCCAATTACCCCAAAGGTACGTGATCAAACAACATGCTTAGTATTCAAATTTTGCGTTTTTAGTTTGCTACGAGGCAAACATTGGAAGTCAATAGTCACCCAAATCTTTTCTGTAAGTACATCCCCAAAATATCTCTTAATGTTTTCAAGCCACATCCAGATCTTAACTACGGTTGCACAGACTTGAAATAGTTTTACAACACAGTAAAACGTCCTGTAATTTATAAAAATGTATACAAATTTAAACGGTTTCTGCAGGTAAAACAAGCGCAACATTCACCATGAGGCTGAAGATGACTTGTTATTCGCCAGCTTCATATTGAAGTTTGTCGTTCCACCTTAAATGATGCAGCAGTGAGGCGCCAGAACAAAACTTCTGCGCCATTTAAGGTGGAGCAGAAAATTTGAATAAGAAAAAGAAGTTCGCCATCATTTTGCTGTCTTTTCTGTATACTCTGTTTTCTGTTGCTGTCTAAATTCAATTCAAACTAGCGGTCCTTTTCAGTTGGCTGAGCTAGTTTTAGTGCTCAGCTAGTTTGTTTTTAAATCCTATGCACCCAATATTCCCAAAAATCTGCAAAAAATTGTCTTTTTTTTTGTAATTAAGTTCAATAGTACTTCTAAAATTCTTCTCATGTGTAGTTGCACTATTCTTTGTATATACCAGTATGTCTGTCATGATTATCTGTGTACCATGGCTTTTGTGTTTTAGTTGGAAGGGTAAAAAATGAATTAAAATTAATAATAAAATTAATATACAGCCATACACTGCTAACATGCTGTCATTAAGAGGCTACAGTACTGTTACCATTATTCATAGTTATGACCTTAAATTAGCTGAAGAATGCAGACTGACTTGTTTAGGACTTGAAGATTAGGACTACTGACTTGGAACTCGACTTGAGACTCACCTTCACTGACTCGGGACTTGAATTGAGACTCGGCTGTCTTGATTTGGGACTTGACTCGGGACTTGAGTGTCAAGACCTGAGACTTACTTGTTACTTGCAACTTAGTGACTTGTCCCCACCTCTGCACAGCATGTCATACTGTGTTCTAAACAACAAGTTTGTGTGACCTTAATGAATGGTTTGAGAAGTTTTGGGGATATATTTATAGAGGTTATTTTGGTGACTACTGACTTCTAGTGTTTGTTAGCAACATTAGCACACAACTTAGGAAGACACCAAACATGTCTTGGCTGAACGACTACATCTGAGGTAAGTGGAAAATTCTATAAATTACATTTTTTTTTTCACTCAGGACAAATTTTACTCAAATCAGTTCTGCACTGGGTGACCTTTCATTAGAATATGATTGTTTTTGATGTCCTTAGTGTGTCTAAATGCATCTGTGAGATATATGTGATCCCCTAATTATGCATCTGTGCATTATCTCTGTCTGACATGGGTAAAGTCCTTCATCTGATTACCAGGAGGAGCTGAGGGCCTGAATTGAGAGCAGGGTATTAGTTAATTGTTTACCTTTGCCCTGCGTGACGGCAGCTTTCTTCTTCAGCTGAGCTTCTTTCACCTGTTGCTCTATCACGGATTCTGCTATCTCCACGTCAGATGAGTCTGGGATTTTGTTCTGCAGGTACTCCACATCTCTCTCCACACGGTCCACCCGCAAAGCCAGACTGTCCACGTGACCTTGGATCTCCGACTTAAGCACGTTTACACTGCGAACCTGGCCGCGCATCTCAGTGGACACGTCATACACTTTCTGGTTGAAGTTCTGGAGGTCCTGATCACATTTGTTAAGACGTTCCTGTCCCAAAGGAGTGAGACACAAATACGCTTTAGTGCAGTGTCTGTTCTTAGCTCATTTTTTTAATGCACAATTTGTGTTAGCCATCCTCTACACCTTCATCAGTGGTCTGATTCAGATCAAAACGTTTCTAATAATCTGGGAAATGAATGGTAGCACAAGGTAGAAGTTTCCAATAAAGTGGTCAGCGCAGCAATGTGCAAAGTAGGTGTTTAAATACCACTGTGTGGAAGTACAAGGTAAGTATTTCTAATAAAGTGACTAGTGAGTGGGTAGTAGTTTTGAATAAAGTGGCCAGTTAAAAGAAGTACATGGTATGTGTTTCTAATAAAGTGGCCAGTGAATAGACGTGCAAGATAGGAGTTTTGAATGAAGTGGCCAGTTAATAGACGTGCAAGATAGGAGTTTTGAATGAAGTGGCCAGTTAATAGAAGTACAGGGTAGGTGTTTCTAATAAAGTGGCCAGTGAATGGAAGGGCAAGGTAGGAGTTTTGAATAAAGTGTCCAGTTAATAGAAGTACAGGGTAGGTGTTTCTAATAAAGTGGCCAGTTAATAGAAGAGCAGGGTAGGTGTTTCTAATAAAGTGGCCAGTGAGTGGAAGTGCAAGGTAAGAGTTTTGAATAAAGTGGCCAGTGAGTAGAAGTACAAGGTAGGTGTTTCTAATAAAGTGGCCAGTTAATAGAAGTACAGGGTAGGTGTTTCTAATAAAGTGGCCAGTGAGTGGAAGTGCAAGGTAAGAGTTTTGAATAAAGTGGCCAGTGAGTAGAAGTACAAGGTAGGTGGCTCGAATAAAGTGGCCAGTGAGTGGAAGCACAAGATAATAAAGTGGCCAGTGAATGGAAATACAAGGCAGGAGTTTCTAATACAGTGGTCAGTATGCAGAAGTACAATATAGGTATTTCTAATAAAGTGGCCAGTTAGTAGAAGTACATGGTAGGTCTTTTCAAAATAGTGGCCAGTGAGTGGAAGTACAAGGTAGGTGTTTCTAATGCACGGTTAATGTATATAGAATGCACATGCACATAAAATGGAAATTTATTAACGGTTTTTAGGGATTTAGACACACCTCAAATCCGAAAGGAAACATTTTATCTTGTAAAGGAACTGGATTTAAAACCGAGGCTGGAGCAAATTTAACTACAAGTTTGCTCCCACTGAAAATCTGAACAAGCTTTGGCTGAAAAACCAGACACTCCTTAGACGCTGCTCACTTGTGTCTGAATCTCTTACCTCCAGCTCCTGGAGTCGCCTCTGAAAGTATTGCATCATGAACACGTCCTGGGTCGTTCTTTGAGCTTGTCCAGTGCCCAGGGGCAACAGCAGCAGAGGTAGGAGTTTCAAAAGCATCCTGATCGTCTAACCTTTTCCTTCCAGTCACTTTTCTAAGCGCTGATAATTAGGAGAAGTTCTGCGCCATCCAAGTGCAGCCTGATACAAACAGAGTCTGGTGAAATTCCGGAGGCATCTGGTTGTTTGTTATTCCATGCTTTGCTGTTTCTGGGACTCGGCCCGAATGATCTTCAGAGGCAGGTCCTTACAGGCTGTCGCTGTGTGTGGAGCCTTAATCGTCTCCAGATGTCCTGACACGTCCCCACGCAGTAGAAGATCATTACCACAGATCACATCATCCATTAAAAACGTTAAGATCATGCATCTGCCATGTTTTAAAAGCCAGGAAATTCAGGAATTTTGCTTTACAGAGCAGGAAAAGTAAGAGAGTGGAGAATGGAGATCAAACAGGAGGAACTGTGGCAGGGAATGGTCAGACAGAGGCTTTTTGAGAATCGGGTCAGTCTGTCTGCTGGACTGTCTTGCTTTTCTCCGGCCATAAACTCTTATTTGAATTTTCCGTTCCACCTTAAATGGTGCAGGAGTTACATTCTTCTGCCAAAACTGCTGCACTGTTTAAGGTGGAATGGAAAATTGAAATGAGAAGCCAACTTCAGCTTCGTCCACAGACAAAACCAGGCCTACACTAACCGACACTAAGAGCACTAGTGCATGTTGCAGTGATACTGAATGTGGGCAAATATATTATTAAACTGGTCCTGAAGTTTTAGGGTTTTAGGTTTCTGGGTTTCTAGGTTGCAATCTTCACCCAAATAGTTTATTCCCAGCAGAGCAGTCTTTGCTTTTGATATTTATTTTAGAAATGCTCACCAGTAGAGGGTAGCACACTGCAAAACCAGTCCAATCCAAAAGAAAAAAAAAAACGAGGCTATGAAATGCATCTAAAAAATACAGTCTCCCGACAGCACTGTTCTCTGGTACAGTGTCAGCACAAATTAGACACATGCTGTCGTCCACATTATTGATTCAAAAAAGATTAAATTATTCACTTTAATTTGGATTATGCACGCTATATAATGCATATGATGATCTGCATTATGCACCCAAAACTCAGTTACACCGTAATGCAATTGTTTAATGAATTCATTTCAAAAATTGAATATCAAAAATACTCATTATAGATTTTACATTAACCAGGACATCAAACTTAAACTTACCCTACTTCATTATGACAGGATACTGCATATGAGTAATGCTTAAGATCTCAAAGCTGAGTCAGAGGCTGGAGAGCTGTTGACCCCATGATGAGCCTGAGCCTGTTTACGCAGGACACTCTACACCACTAACAGGAAGTGGCAGCTCAGCTGTAAATAGTGTAGTGATGTCCGTGGCCCAATTCAGTCACCGCACCAGCCTCATAATGCAACTGAACCAAAGTGCTCCTAAAAGAATGTGCATAGTGCAAAGACACTTTAGGTTTACGTTGTGTGTTCATACTGGAAAATTAAATGCTAGAACTGCTGAGAAAGGGAGTGTGTAGCGTTGCACTCAGGGAAAACGAGCTGCCATGTGTAGACATTCCCCAAATTGTATTAGTTAGAAGTCTTTTCTTCTAATAACTGCATTTCTGCGACATTATTTGCATTAGCATATTTGCAATAAGCAGCAAGAGATTTTAAAATGTTAATATAACATAGTAAGCAGACATGTTAGTTTATAGCTACCTTTAGCTACCTATTGATAGCTATTTGCTAACCTAGGTCTGTTATTTGTGTTATATGTGGCAGTTTCCCAAAGTTAGATTGGTAACTGGCAATGCTAGGCTATCGCTAACTTTAGCTAGCTAATGCCAGCTGCTAACTTGGACACATTATTTATATTAGGCCATTTGTGATGCAGCATTTAAAAAATATTAGAATGGTAACTATAGCATGCTAATGATAGCTGAATGCTAACTTGGGGTAACTGAACCTTGAGGTAATTTGTCGTTTCTATTTAGTGCAAAATGCTCATTTTCAGTTTGAGACAATACAACCCTACAAACGTCCCATAGAACATAATGCATTGTTGCTAAATGCTACAGTGAAAAACTTTGTTGTGACCAATGATATTTCATTCATTTCTCATAATCAGTGATAGTTGGTAAATGAAAAACCTTGCTATGACCAATGATGGTTGACCAATAAAAAACTGGTTGTAGACAATAATGCTTGATCAAGGAAAAACTTCATTGTGACCAGTGACAGCTGAAAGATTTCGTTGGGACCAGTGTTGGTTGACCAGTCAGAAACCTAGTCCAATTGTCCAATGATGACCAATGATGACTGTCCGATGAAAAATTTAATTGTGACCAAAGACGGTTGACCAATAAAAAACTTTGTTGGAACCAATAATGTTTAATCAATGAAAAACCTTATTGTGACCAGTGATGGCTGACAAATGAAACATTTTGTTGTGTCCAGTGTTGGCTGATCAGTGAATGACCTATTCATGTCCAATGATGACTGTCCAGTGGGAAATTTCATTGTTACCAATGATGGTTGACCAATAAAAACTTTGTTGGAACCAATAATGTTTGATCAGTGAAAAACTTCATTGTGACCAGTGATGACTGAAAAATGAAAAACTTTGTTGTGACCAGTGTTGGTTGACCATTGAAAAATGTAGTCATGACCAATTTCATTGTGCCCAATGATGGTTGACCAATAAAAGATGGTGTCATGCCCAATATCAGTTGGCCAACAAAAGCTTTGTTGTGACCAGTAGTGCTTGACCAGTGAAAAGCTTTATTGTGACCAGTGATCGTTGACCAATGAAAAACTTTGTTGTGACCAGCGTTGGTTGACCAATTCTGTCACAAGCTATTTAATGATCAGTGAAAAACTTCGTTGTGATTAGTGATGACTGAAAAATGAAAAACTTTGTTGTGACCAGTGAAAAACCTAGTCATGACCAATGATGACTGTCCAATGAGAAATTTCATTGTGCCCAATCATGATTGACCAATAGAAAATGGCGTCATGCCCAATATCAGTTGGCCAGCCAAAGCTTTGTTGTGACCAGCAGTGCTTGACCAGTGAAAAGCTTTATTGTGACCAGTGTTGGTTGACCAATTAAAAAATCTATTAATCACCAGAGATGGTTCAAAATCCTTGTTATGACCAACAATAGTTGACAGATGAAAATTGTCATAGTGACCAATGATGATGGCAAAAACCTTCACTGGGTTTAGTATTGGTTGACCAATGAAAAACCTAGTCAAAACCAATGATGGCTGACCAATCAAAACTTTGCCGTGACCATCAATGTTTAACAAATGAAAAAACTTGATGATTGTTGACCAACAAAAAAAAAATTGTTGAGCTCAGTATTGGTTGACCAATGGAAAACCTAGCCTTGATCAACAATGGTTCACCAATGACAAGCTTCTTTGTGACCAGCAATACCTGCCAAAGTCTTCAGACAGGTGATTCAGTGGACAATTCTGTTGGAAGATTCATAAATTGGTTATGTCGAACTCCCTGAGCCGCTGTCCTACATGAGCCTACTGTACTCTCTGCCTGTCCACTGTACCATGCAGCAGAGCATGATGCAAAGGCACTAGAATCCCACCGGGACCCTTCATAAGTGAACCGTGACATTGAATTTACACTATGTGTTCCCATGTCAGGACTGTACTCACGTCGTCTGTAGAGATGTTCGGTTACCACCTCAGTGTGAAGCTCGTATAGACTGATGATGTAACTGAGTCCCAGTATCATGCAGTTTGTGGCCACATGAGGTTTGGAAATGTGTGTGTTTTTAAAGCTTGATGTTGATTCCTTCTGATGTGATGGCCTTCTCTACCTCTCGCTAACTCTCAGAAGGAGAGCGGCTCTATCTAATGGCAGTCCTTCACACACTGGGATGTGCATATCGATGCATTCTGCTGAGCTGAAGTGACTAGAAATAATAGCTTATGTGACTTTCTCAATACAAAGAAAGGCATGAATATAAAGTACACTACTGTATGCATGGGTTCTGCATCCTCTGGCAAAGGAAGACAGGCATCTCCATCAATTTAGGCCATTCTAGTCCCTGGTGGTCTCTTTAGAGTGCTGACGCATTTGCATATTTGCCCTCACATCTTTGTTTTGTCAAGATTTTTTGCCTTATTTCTGTGTTGAATAGTGTTTTCTTAACTTTACTAGAAGTTTTACTTATGATTCATAGCGTGAAAAGTGCCATGGAAAGAACACAACTAATGATGTTGTCGTATGATTTGGATTTTACTACATTGCGGATATCATAAACCACAAAAAGCCCCGCCTTCAAGACAAATTAACCATGAATGCAAATGGCATAAAGGAGAATTCCACAGACTTTTCAAATTTCTGCACAATTCAATCATGGAGATGTAAACAGAGTCATTCAGAGTGGTTCAATGTAAAATGGTTCACTGTAGAGAAACTGACAGGCTCAGATTTCTTCATTTTATTTAGTGTCAGAAATCTACACCCTTCATGTAACATATTTTTAAAAAATGTGTTGTAGGCCAGAACCATACTTCCAAAACCAAACACTGAGTGCGTTTACATGCAATTAATAATCCGATAAATGCAGAAAATCAGATTTTGTCAGTAATCTGATCAATAAGTTTACATGCACTTGAGTAATCAGATAATGGGAAACTCCGGGTCTACATTAGTCAGGCAGTAATCGGACTTCTGCTTTGCAACCAGCCAGTAAACTCACAGAAGAAGATGTGAAGTAAACATAATGTAAAACGTCATGATGCAGTTTTTTTTTTTAAACATCGCGCCACTTTACCTGAAAATATGAATATACATCTTCTAGAAGATGAAGAATATTAAATCCTTCAATTCGTCAAGCATGTAGTTGCTTTCAGCGTCACTCCAAAAGTGTTTTGCTGGAATTTTGCAGCACCGCTGTTTGCTTATTTCCAGTATAGCAGTCTGTTTTGCACATGCACAGATTGAGAAATCCGAAAGAAATCAGAGTAAGAGTTCACATGCACTGAGAAATCTGATTACTGAGCTACAATCCAACTCTCTTTATCAGATTTCTTAATCAGATTTTTAGACCATACTCCAATCTTAGAAATCAGATTGTGCTGTTTGTGTGACCAATTAAATAATCAGATAGCTGCAGAAATCCGATTATGATTGGATTATTGAGAGCATGTAAATGCACTCAATGTCTCAGGAATCAGGCAGCATATTCACTATGAACTTTCTCTGATGGAGCTTTAACAGACAGTAAACATGTCACTTAAAACAAAATGCATTACACTGTTTAACATTATATGCACATTATTGTTATAATTATATTATATATTATATATTATATTTTTCTCCATATATTTTATTATCAGTTAATGTTATTATCAGTTAAATTATTATGGTTATTATTAGATATTATTATTAGATACAATCTAGATAGTGAAAAATAT